GCATCAAGTCAAATAAAATACGTGGTAGACTAGGGACGCATCACGTCAAGTAAAATACGTGGTAAACTAGGGACGCATCAAGTTAAGTAAAATACGTGGTAAACTAGGGACGCATCACGCCAAGTAAAATACGTGGTAAACTAGGGACGCATCACGTCAAATATTTACATTTTGTATCAGTTTCATACAACTTGAAAAAATGATTGTGTAAACACTGACCACGTAGTGCTGTTAGAAACTTTCATGTCTTCTGTTAACCAGGAATTATTTTGAAATATGTACCACGCGATCGACAGATCCATCTGCCGTAGTTAAATCGATATTTATTACCTTTACTTTAACAACGAACCTGATGGGGGCTATTTCAGAAGAAAACAAGATTTATTTACTTATCATGCTTATAACAATATAGTTTTATTGTCAGGGTTGGTTACACTTGTATCCAGAACAAATATTATATATATATAAATAAAATATATTACAGGCGAAACTACTCGCTACATCTACGGTAACGTTATTGTAGGCGTAGCGAAACTGGCCGAGTACTTGCGATTGAAATAGTTCAGTGAAGATAGACATGTGATGGTGGCGGTTTAACGTCCAGTGGCAAATTAAATGCATATAATTATGATATATGCTATATAAATATAATCAGGACGAGAACATGTTTAAATGTGATATGAATATAATACCTACTATGTACTAGACCGACAGGATGAGCCGGATTGTTAACGTGCTAGCTCACAAAATAACTGTCTGCATGCAGGAAGACATTTCACCCTACCCGGACATATTATTCTGACTATCTGCCGATCAGTCTTTGCTTATACTCATAAAATGCCGCGTGCTTCTAGCAAAGAAACACCAAATATTAATTTTCAAGTTTTTGGTTGACCAAGCCGGGGATCGAATCCTAAACCTCCCGCTCTCGACGATACAGAGTGAATACTGATATGAAAAAAGTAAAATAACAAAAATACAGAACCCCAAGGAAAATTCAAAATGGAAAGTCCCTTATCAAATGGAAAAATCAAAAGCTCTAACACATCAAACGAATAGAAAACAACTGTCATATTCCTGACTTGGTACAGGTATTTCCTTATGTAAGAAAATGGATGATTAAATCTGGTTGTATAGCTAGCTAAACCTCTCACTGAACTGAAGTTAGTTGGTTGCGTATTGCAGCAAATCGGTGGCATTCCGTGAGCTAGATGTAGTTTAAGAGTTGATGCAGGATTAAGGAAATATAAAACAAACAAAAAATTTACTTATTTGTAGATCTTGTCTTAATTGCTGATCATTTTTGCTATTTAAAGTGTCTATCTTTTATAGTTTTCAAGATCGTAGGCAAAAACGTAGAATATTGGTAAAATCGTCATTAAAGAGCAAGTACTCCTACAAGGAGTCGACTGATGATTTCCGATATTTGTTTTATTTGTATATCAAGTCTTGCTGATATTTTTGCTTAATTATGTTTCTAGCTATCTATTATAGTTTTTCAGATATTAGACATATTTTTAAACTAGATACCCTAATGATGATTGTGGCCAAGTTTGGTTAAATTCGGCCCAGTAGTTTCAGAGAAGATTTTTGTAAAAGTCAACGACGACAGACGACGGCGACGGACGACGGACGCCAAGTGATGAGAAAGGCTTACTTGACCTTTTAGGCCAGGTGAGCTAAAAAGTTGTGAATAAAACAAGCTATGTTGTTAAAGTCCGGCTAACAAATTATTCAAATAAAAAGCGAGTTTGTCAATTTTTGTACCGATTGCCCAATACATTGAAAAATAAAACGAGTTTGTCAATATAGTTCAGATTCACGGTTAAAACACACTACTGCTCTTTGGTCGGGTTGTTGTCTCTTTGACACATTCCATTCTCAATTTTTCTGTTTGCAACTACGTTTATAATGATGCCAAATTGCAGTTTTAGCGCCGTTCCGTTGCTTCGGTCCATAAACATATGGCCCGGAGTGTAATGTTATATGTGTTGATAAAAAATTGTAACAAGTGAGATGCATAAAACAGTAAATTGAGGAAGCGTAACACAATTTGTCTCAATTGAATACCTACATACTGGCGACTTCCTTACGTAAAACAATTAATCCCTTCTCTGTATGTTGAATTAGTGTAGACATAATTGTCTACTGTAAGTTTGTAAAAACCAAAACAAATAAATTGACATTTCAGATTTAGTAAAGGACCTTTAAGTTAGATATGACATTATCTGTGTTATTAGATAATGTGGTGAATAGTCAAATATCAAAGTATTGATTCCAATTACACAAAATTATCGCAGAACAATAAGAATCAAATTATTTATCGAGTCGCATTTAGTATCTCTTTGTATAGATACAAGCACTAATTTATATATCCCACTTCTGAATATATAAACCCACTTGATATCCCCGAGGACTTAATATCTGTAAGCACTTATAGTATCCAAGCACTTAATATCTGTAAGTATTTGGTGTATTCAAGCACAAGATATCTCTAAGCACTTAATATCTCTAAGCACTTGGTGTATCCAAGCACCTAATATCTCTAAGCACTTTTTGTATACAGGCACTAGATATATCTCTATGCACTTGGTATATCCATAGATGTATAAACCCACGGGTTTATACATCTATGATATATCCAATCACTAGTAATACCTTTAAGTATTTGGTATATCTCTAAACACTTGGTGTATCCAATCACTAGATATAATATCTCTAAGCACAGGGTATATCCAAGCACTATATATATCTCTAAGCACTTGGTATTTCTCCAAACACTTGGTGTATCCAAGCAATATATATATGTGTAGGCACTTGGTATATCCAAGCACTAGATATAATATCTCTACGCACTTGGTATATCCAAGCACTAAATATGTCTCCAACCACTTGATGTTACCCTGCACTTGAAATTTCCCACCGCATTATATCTACCAATACTTGATATCGCACAGCAGTTGGTATATATCTACATGCACTTGATATCTCCCAGCGCTTGGTACATGTTACTCCTAGCACTGATCTAATAATTGCTCATTGCGATAATGCTGTGTAATGAGCAATCAAAATGACAAACTGAATACTTTGCGTTTGAAATTAAAACCTACCATGTAGTTCATACGAAGCAAATCATTAATTGGTCGATTGGTATTTGGTTAACGTATCTATACAGGGCCAAGTATGGCAAGCCGTTTTACTATTTATTCTAACTTCAAGATATCTCATATAATGTATAAAGTTTATTAGATATCTTGAAGTTAGAATAAATAGTAAAACGGCTTGCCAAAGGGCAAATATTGTATTCGTATTCAATATATTTAAATGGTTCTGCAAAATGGATTGACTGGTTTGGCGGACAGGAAATTTGGCAGACCACTGAAAAAAGAGGGTATGGGTAAGAATAGTTCATTGAAACATACTTCCTGTGGACCTCTAAGTTAAAGAGTTGTGCTATGGGTTCTTTAATGTGAAAAACAGGCCGAGATAGAGAGCGTGGTACTTTCCCTAGAATAGGCATCAGATTCAACGTTTCCCATTCCGTCTGGACCTGGTTGCGTATTTATTCATCCCACAGAGCCAAACGGACATCTTCATTCCTCAGTTGGAGACACTGGTTCCAATTTCTATACCCTTATGTGCCCGCGGGGTTCATCCGTATACAGACATTACAGGATGAGGGTTTACATATGAATGATAACTACGATACAATACAAGTTAACTCAAATAGTAGATGTTACCGGCGTACATCGCACGGTCTTTACCAAGGGCAATAGTCCATCTTTACGATTAAATTCAACAGACAACAAATATCGTATACTTTAAATATTTGTCATTTGTTTTCCTTCTGTCCATCCTAAAGATTGATAATGCCTTTGGTATTTTGGTATCTTTCGCCTCTCTTTTATATAGTTTTATGATGACCAAAAAAAAGCTCACTTTCCTCTTTTTGTTTACAGGTTATATAATTCAAATTTCTGTATGAGGACACTGTTGCCCTGTCGGTGTTTAACCATTTTTTACTTGAGTGGGTAATTGTTATAACATTACATTAGTATTGAACGTAAAGATTTTTACTTGAGTGGGTAATTGCAATAACATTATACATTTTTGAACGTGAAGACCTTTTTAAAAATTGAATAAAAGTACGTTTATTTTCTCGTATATGCCACGACAGTTATAAACACGATATAGTTTCGCGCACTAAACAAATACCCATGACAAAAATATATTGCAATAGTTTCACCATTACCTTTTCGATTCATATATATGTATGAGATAGGGCATTACCTTTGCTCGTAATAATTCTCTTATAACCAACTTGTAATAACTAACCCGACGAAGTTAGTACACTGACCTAGACACGGACAATGACCTACTTCTCTGTTAAATTAATTTGCTGTGCCTACGACGATATTGATCTTGTGTCAGAGAGAAAGTTAATTTTCTTCAGTGTCAATTAATTTGTTTATTGTAGCTTTATGGAATCCCGATAATACATTGGTACTGGCACCCTGCCTGGTTGTATATTGGCACCCTGGCTGGTTGTATCATATGTTTGTACACTTTGAATTTACTTCCGCAAGTAACGCTTTAGTCGCATTTGACTAGCACAGGAAAATGGGACAGTAGTATTATCTAAATGTCCAGGGACAAAACAATTCTCGCCTATAATCCATTTACCTACATACGTGCAGTTTAGAGTACATGTACACTTATCATGTTTATTTAATAACACAATCTCTTACATACGAATTACGATGGTGTCTGTTAGTTTTGTATAGCTTAGTCGTGAAATAATATACATTATTTTTACTTTCGCTGAACAACTGTGTTTTTTTTAAACTAAACATTTCTGCATTTGGGATATATATATTAAAAAAAGGTATTTTCATAGATTATATACACGTGTCATTATTTATGTGAAAATCATTACATTATAGATGTACATGTATACACATTTGTGTAACTACATATAAACGATAAAGATTAAAACTTACTGTAAAATTGACGTTGATATGTTGTTTATTATGCACAATACATTGTGATCAAACACACGTGTCTAGATTTAATCCTTGAACAAATACACAAAGGACGTACATATCCAGCCGACATTTTTGTTACGGTTGTAAACACAAATCCCAAAGTTAACTGTTCCGCATGGCTTTACATTTCACGCTGAGCCGTGTTTCAATTTCGTAAATAACTGTTTTATATCACGATTATGACATATTGGGTGCAAGAATGTCGGTTAAAGACACAGATATCGATTAGTAAATAAAACTACGTATTCAGTGCTATTTATACTGACAGAAAAACGTCATTGGAAAGATTGGCTGAAAGAGAGATCTCTTTAATAATTGTTGTTACGCAGTAAATTACATGCGATTAAATTACACTTATATTTATGTACATGACTAGGAGATATTAAAAACGTAGATTATCACTGTACGGATTGTGATATAACAAATCATAAACGGTATAACTCTGACTGTAATAGATTGTTTATTGTATCGGCCTTTTTATATACTTTCTTTTATAGATGTGTGCATATTGACACTATTATGTATAATTAAATCCAACAATTTTATTGTCAACTAAATGACCCCGAAGAACATATATTAAAACTAAGGAATATTTTGGGTTTCAGGCAGAAATGTGTTTAATTTGAATTATATTATTTTTTGGTTCCGGAATAGTTTGCCAACTTCCAATATGATTATTAAAGAATCCAATCAGATTAAAAAATATTTTAATGGTATAAAGGAAAAGAATGTCAAATTTGAAAGTGAAACAAAGGTAAATCATTTAATTGACTGATTCGATCCATAAAAATCATTCTTATACAGGTAAAACGATGATTAAAATGTATTTAAAAGTATTTGAGTCAATGTTTCTATGATTTTCATTAGAAAACCACTGTTTCATATATTATATGATAAAGCCGCGATCTTTCTCCATTCTAATATATGTTGTCATTTTTTCGGGTGCTACTGTTAATCAGGGATCTGCTTACCCCGCTTTATGAGTACCTAAGATCACTTCGGTTTTTGGTGGGTTCGTGTTGTTCAGTTTTTTTTTCTTTAGATTATTCAGTAGTTTTTTGTAGACTAGTGTTTTTTTCTTTTCGTTAATTTTCGCTTTTGCAAGCGTTTTGTTAACTATTTGAAAAAAAAGCTCTCGCAGTGATGTAGCCTTTTTGCACTGATATGGCGTAAAGCAAACATCAATCAATCAATCGTTTTTGCAATGAGTTGTCGTTCGCTCTTCAGCTTCTGAATAATAACTCTCCCTTTGATATCTTCCATTTCTCAATAATAACTCTCCCTTTGATATCTTCCATTTCTGAATAATAACTCTCCCTTTGATATCTTCCATTTCTGAATAATAACTCTCCCTTTGGTATCTTCCATTTCTGAATAATAACTCTTTCTGAATAATAACTCTCCCTTTGATATTTTCCATTTCTGAATAATAACTCTCCCTTTGATATCTTCCATTTCTGAATAATAACTCTCCCTTTGGTATCTTCCATTTCTGAATAATAACTCTCCCTTTGATATCTTCCATTTCTGAATAATAACTCTCCCTTTGATATCTTCCATTTCTAAATAATAACTCTCCCTTTGGTATCTTCCATTTCTGAATAATAACTCTTTCTGAATAATAACTCTCCCTTTGATATCTTCCATTTCTGAATAATAACTCTCCCTTTGGTATCTTCCATTTCTGAATAATAACTCTTTCTGAATAATAACTCTCCCTTTGATATCTTCTATTTCTGAATAATAACTCTCCCTTTGGTATCTTCCATTTCTGAATAATAACTCTCCCTTTGGTATCATCCATTTCTGAATAATAACTCTCCCTTTGGTATCATCCAATTCTGAATAATAACTCTCCCTTTGGTATCATCCATTTCTGAATATTACATTAACATGTTCTCGTCCTGAATGTGCATATTAATTTGCCGCTGGACGTTAAAGGGGCACTAGCTACGAGATATATACAAAATCTAAAGTATGATTTTTTTGGTTCAATCATTAATGAAAGTGAAATAGTGAAATAATAATTCGCTTTTAGCAGCCATGCATTATGGTTCAATTTTGTCAAATGAAGCTAAGAAACATTGATGATGAATTATTCACTTGCAAGTGAATCCTCATTGAATCCGTATTCATGTGAACTTCAATTTAACCCCTTACCTAGAGATGGATAACGCATGCAGAGTGCGTGTTTGGTTATTTAAAGGAAAAGAATGTCAAATTTGAAAGTGAAACAAAGGTAAATCATTTAATTGACTGATTCGATCCATAAAAATCATTCTTATACAGGTAAAACGATGATTAGCATATAATTTTAATCTATAATATGAAATTAATCAGACCTAGAAAAATCCAATTGCACGTGTTCGCTTTGTATTTATATCTATATTTATGTTTATATCGCTTATATGACCATCGGAGGTATTCGGAGGTCAACTCGATAGTTAATGAGATGGCGTCAAGACTAAAATACACACAAAACGAAGCTACATATTATCGAGCCCATGCCCTGTAAATTGTTTATTTTAGACTTTTTATAATTTGGATAAATGTTTTACATGGTTATAAATCAAATATGAGTATTTGAGTCAAATCGGTGAACATGAATTTCCCAGCTAGTGCCACTTTAAGCAGCCATCCATCATCATTATCCATTTCTGAATAAAAACTCTCCCTTTGGTATCTTCCGCTTCCACTTTTTTTTTTAAATACAAATTATTATTTGTAGAGATTTGTTTTACAAGTTATCCGAATTTTTACACGCACTTTCTGTCATTAGAGGATACAAGTTTGTTGTTAATGTTTAACAATCTTGATGTTTTACCCACAAATTCGTATAGTCCAACCTAACATGAAGCACCGTCCTCTTTCACAAATAGCTTTCAAATAAGGAGACCAGATTTAGTTATATTCTATTTATATTTTTTCGCTCATACTAGATTCCAAGACATAAAATGTTTATCTAGTTTCTAATAGTATTTTAGTCTTCCATTGGCGAACTTTTCTGCTCTGTATGGTGGCCTCATACGCGATAGTTTTGTCATTAAAGTCATATGAAACGAGTTTTTTGTAATTATATTGTTATAATATATAACCAATGCAAGCTATTAAATTAACTTACGAGTTTGTTTCCAAAATTTACCGGATCGTGACATATAATCAATCAACACAAAACACGTGGATCGCGTGAAAATAAGTAAATTGATAGAACCATGATATATGTATATATATTTATTTTCCATGCGTTCCCATGTTTTAATTAAACTTTTCATTAACAATTGTTAAATGATTTGGTGTATGTAATTTGTTTTTTAAGAATCAGTTATTTCTATTTACCTTTCAGTGCACGTTTCCCCCTCGCACTTTCGCTGTGCGGTGGCTGAAGTTCTAACGAGAGGTCTCGTAGTTAAGGTCACTGCATACTTATAGATTATCGTTTGTCATCTCAACGAGATTGATTTTTTCGCTTGAGCCGGTACGGCGAAAATGAGAAAAGCAATCGAGTTGAGATGACCAATGATAATCTGTTTATCGTTATTTTACCTATGAAGACGTTGTTAATTTCCTTGACAACGGCACGTGTTCTCTTAGTTTCTAGCGATAATTTTCATATCACTCGACTCCGCTGAGAAAGGAAATTATCAGTCAGCAAAATCAAACAATACAAATACCTATGAATGATAAAAAAAATAGTGCAATCTGTAAGGTGCGGTGCGCTGATTTGTTACTTCTTTTTTTAAATCATTTTTCGGTTTAATAATTTTGTTATGAATGGAAAGACGAACTTCAACAGAAGGGGAAATATATTTTTTCATTGAATATTTACTTTTTTGAATAGTGTGCGGTCGGAAAGAGGCATTGCAAATGCACATTGTTAACATCATTTATCAAGTTACTGGTTTTAATGAAATTGGTGTTCATTTTTCATAGGAAAAATAGATTTCCTGTATTCAAATATACATGTACTTTACACCGTTGAAAAGCAATATAATGGGGAACAAATAAATAACATTACAGTAAATGCTCAGGTTACAGCAATCTACTGACAATTGTAAACTAATCTAAATCATTGACTTATATCTGATGATCATGACACTAGATTGACCCTGTTTAAAGGAACACTAGCTACGAGATATTTAAAAAAATGTAAAGTATGATTGTTTTTGTTCAATCATTAATGAAAATGAAATAGTGAAATAATAATTCGCTTTTAGCAGCCAGTATGGTTCAATTTTGTCAAAATAAGTTAAGAAACATTGATGATGAATTATAAACTTGCAAGTGAATAATTCGACCTCATTGAATCCGTATTCATGTGAACTTCAATTTAACCCCTAAGCTAGAGATGGATAACGCATGCATTGTGCGTGTGAAGTTATTTAAAGGAAAAGAATGTCAACATTGACAGTGAAACAAAGGTAAATCATTTGATTTACTGATTCTATACAGGTAAAAACGATGATTAACATATATTTTTAATCTATAATATGAAATTAAACAGACCTAGAAAAATCAAATTACACGAGTTCACTTTCTATTTCTATTTCTATTTATGTTTATATCGCTTATATGACCATCGGAGGTATTCGGAGGTCAACTCGATAGTCAATCAGATGGCGTCGAGACTAAAACCCACACGAAACGAAGCTACACATTATCGAGCCCATGCCCTGTAAATAGTTTATTTTAAACTTTTTATAATTTGGATAAATGTTTTATATGGTTATAAATCAATTATGAGAATTTGAGTCAAATCGGTGAACATGAATTTGACAGCTAGTGCCCCTTTAAATACACACCTTCTTATACACATATTTTATTCTGTGGGTTTTCTTTGAGAAAAAAAATCTCATAAATCCTTAATCATTCATCTTTGACACATAATTTGCAGGATAATTTTATGACGTAAGTGACTTAAAAAGGTATAAAACATCATAGGTAACCATCCAACATACTATTGAGGTCCAGAATTGTGTAATGTAGGTTAAATTAAATATGTCACGACTAGTATATATATTAGCGATCTAACATACTGCAGGGGTCAAGAATTTTGTATGTAGTTTTGTCATGATTGAGTTGTGTAATAAAGTGTCTGTTCAACTGCGTAATATAAGTATTTGGAAGTATATTTCAGTTTGTTTTGATTTAGTTGCTAACCTAGCTACATCCAGGTTGGTGAGTTCAATACCTCGGGAAAGAATTGAAAGAGGTAGGGCCAATTCCCCCTGAATTTTTTTCACAGAAGGGCCAATTTCAAAAAGTGCTGAAAGAATAAAATTTACGATAAAAACAAGAAA